GCACCCCACGCCCCACGCACCGCGCCACACGGACCCCCACCCGCTCCCCGAGCCCCACAGCAAAGCCCGTTCAGCACAAGCCGCTGGCACGGCAATAATTGTTATTATGTATTGGAGCAGGCAAATGTCTATCAATTCAATTACTGAGATGATTAAGTGCGCGCCCTGTTCTCCCACAATGAAAGAGTCCAGTGTTACATGGCCTCTTCCCGTGCAAGTTCGAAATTAGTTTGACCCACGGGGCCAAGCGGAGCGTGTTTATGGACAAATGTGAGCAGCAGTTTGGGGTGAAAGATTTTCCTGCTGGAAATTGTAGCTTCATCTGAATTCATATTTGTCAAATGGGTTCTGATGGTATTTTTCCACCGCTTTACCAACAAGAGCAATGAAGGAAAATGGTTTTGAAGCAACAAAAGGCTGTACAACCCCATCCGATACTGCCCACACCGCTCAGGGCTGCTCGCACAGTGGCTCTCGGGGCAGCGCAGCGATACTGGTGGTCAGTCCCTGCCCCAACCCGTCCCCGTCCCCGTCCTCATCCCTGTCCCACACCCGTGTCCGGCCCACCCGGGGGTCTGGCGGGTCCCTGGGGGGCCCGGCTCCCACCCTCTCCCCCCATAGGGTCCGCAGCGGCACCGGTCGTTCCCCGAGAATCAGCCCCAGATGAGGACGTGGCTGCGCTTTACAGACCGGGGGATGCTGAAGCTTTGGGCAAATGACTTTTGCTCTCTGAACTGGATGACTGCAATCGAGAACGAGGAACACAGAAGCCAACAAGACAGTAAATTACCTATTTTCCTGCTAAGCGCGATGTATAGTGTCAGCAAGAGGAGAGCGTACAGGATCAAGGTGACAGCTGAGATGGCAACAAGCACCCACCTGAACGAGAGAAAAATATTTTACCTAAGTGGAAGAAATAGCGAAATTATTTTAAATCTTTCAGGTACCGTTTGGCCGCCATTGCTTCAAAGCACGTCTTAGACCAAGGTTTCCCGGTGCAGGTTTTGGTTTTGCTTTTTGTCTTTAAGGCAATGTGCCCCAAAATCTGGGGCTTCGTTTTCAAAAAGGACTAGTGCTCCTTGCACGGTGTTTTTGGGTGCCCGTCTTAAGAAGGCTTTTCGAAAGCCTCATTGCCAGCGGGGGGGAGCGCAGCGTTTGCTGGAAGAGAGTAGTTACGAACATGGCTCCTGCCAAAATCACAAACCCTTTCTGAGACTCGCGCCTGTGTGTCTGCCGAGCACAGCCGTCCCATGACAAGGCGTAATTGTCCCCAGCGCAGCCAAAAGCAGGCGCAGTGTCACCAGCGACGGGGGCTGCAGCATCCCCACGCTGCGCCGCTGCTCCCGCACCCACGGCACCGCATCCCTGCAGCCAGAGCCCGGCCACGCCAGGACCGAGAACCCGAGCAGAAAGGTGCTCCATACCAGCGGTTGTCCCTCCATCTTACAGCGTTCCCCTCGCCGCGGGGGCGCTGCAAAGGGCGACCAGCGGCTCTTTAACCCGGGACGCTGTACTCACCACTCGCAAGTGCTCATCTTCCCTGCCAGGCGTCTCGGCGGCCGCTGTGATGCCCAGCGAAGCACTGGAGGTCTCGGGGGCAGGAGGGTGGGGGAGAGAGAGGTACCTAGCCCTGGTGGCAACCAACCAAAATGGTCCCATTGAGCTTCACGCTGCTCCACGGCACCTGAAGATCAGGCTTGCCGCTTGCGAGCGGCGGCCTGACATCGCGGGCTTAAAATAAAGGCACACAGCCTTCCCTCCGCACGAGGCTCGTACTGTAGGTGTGAGTCCTTCTCGCACGCGCCCCTCACACCTCCCAAGGCTCTCCCCACCCTTATCATGGAGCTTACTGGTTTTATACACCGCTGCCTCGGTCATATCTGATACTTGACCGGAGCTTCTGGCCTCCACAGCGGTGCTGGTAGTAATAAGAACTGAAATGTATTCTTCTTGATTTAATCCGAGTTTCTTTTTAGTTTTTTAAATCCACAAAAAAAAAAATAATTGATAACTATAATCTTGAAAAAAAAAAAGACCCATAGAATAAAGTAACCAAAAGAAGGGCACGGGTCTTGTGTTGGGTTCTTGCATCAGTCAAGATCCAGCCAGAAATGTCGGCAGCCCTTCAACTCCTCGACATTCAAAACACCTTGGATTTAATTTTAGGTGAGACCTAAATCCTGTTGAAGTTAAGGGGACTTAAGGCAGATAATTAGAAAACACATACGCCTGAACTGGACCCCTCGGCTTGGGACTTTTGGCCATAGTATTCAAGAGATTCAGAATAACGGATGGCAATCGGGGGCATTCATTTTGTGACCTTTCACTTGCAAAAAAGCACTTCAAATTTCCACTCAATGCCTATATACTCATTGTTTATAAACGGCCAACATGGGGAGGTTATCTTCAACTGAAGCTGTGATACAATGACTAAAGGAGCGATAATAATATGATCGATAGACTGATAGATAGATTGATAGTTAGAGCAAAGGCATTATCCATCCTATGGATCAGATGCTATAATTTCCTCTATGACACATTTCTAAGAGTAATTCATCAAAAGCTTTTCCGATAGCCTCACCAATCGCCTGTGAAATTCCACTTACCCAAAGTGGCAACTGCCAAGCTAAAAGTCCAGTTCTTGCTGGAATTTTCCCCCTCCCTTATTGAACTGATCTGTCCCCAAATATCCTTCTCAAATGGCTGTCATTCTTAAATGGCTCATTTCCTATTGTGGGGCAGGAGATGCTGCTGCAGCAGATAACAATCTGAAAAATGAGCTGTTCAAAAGGAAATTGCAAAATAAGACCCAAATCCAAATATCAGTGGCGGGCAGCTTCTTCGCTGAGATGGGGTACGGCGAGATTGAAGAGATGATACGCATATGCGTATGAAATATCTATTTTGAAGATAACAACTAGTAAGACGCTGGCGGCATGTGTACGTTTTTTGGTGTACCAGGTACCGTGCTGTGAGCCCCCCTCCCTTCAGCCCCCCGCACATTAACCCTTTCTCAGGCCAGATGCCCTATGGAAACCAAGGCTTGTAGAGAGCTCCCACTCCGCTGGTTATTGAGTAGTGAATTCAAGACATCTACACTCAATCTAAACATAAGCAAAATCACGGGGAATTATTTTAACTATTTACTTATTTTAATCCCATTTGAGTCAGGCCTGGCTGCCCCGGGGCATCCCTCGGACGCCGACACCGAACCCATCTCTCATCCTAATGATCGACCCCTCTGCTTTCCGAGGCACCCGCGTGCAACGGCTGGCGGAGAGCGATAGCCAACGGGGTTTTACCTGGGGGACCAGAGCTTTCCGCACCTTCCCTTTCCCACAGGACCTGGGCAACCGGGATCGTGGAGGAAGCAAGAATTAAGGATGTTTCGGCAGCGTTTTTGGGGTCCAGCAGTGCAGAAGCCTCTCCGGCTCGGTGCCGGATGCGGTCTTGCTCTACCCCAATGGCAATGGCAGGAACGAGCCCACACGAGGTTCCATGACGCTTCCTCTCTGTCAACGGGCTCATTTAAATATATTTGGGGGTTTCTCTGCTGTCCTGCAGCCGCTTCTGCTCTGGGGCTGGGGATGCTGTATCCCCCCGGGTGGTTATCCTTGGAGGTGCCCCCCCCGTTGCTCCATCTTCCAGCAGTTTTGGGCTAAAATGCAGCTGAGCTTCATTGGAGAAAAGTGGTTTCCAAGGGCAGAGCTCTGCCTCAAGCACGTCAGCTTTGGGTGCTTCCAAGTAAAAGCCTTCTATAGGGTTAAAACACTCTAAATGACAAGGGACGTGGTCCCAGAGGCTGGCACGGCTTGTGGCTGCTGGGGGTGAATGTGCCTCCACCCGCCCGTTTTCTGGAAGGATTTTCTGGTCAGTGGTAACTTGCTGCATCACTTGATAACGGTGGGGTGCAAACAGCGGAGTCGTGGCCCCACTCTCATCGGTCCACAGCAGATTTGGGGAGCGCCGGGGCAACGCTCCGTAGGAACTGACTTTGCAGCTCTCGCACTGAAGCAGCGTTTTGGTGCTGGAGATGCCCTGCAGCAGCCCGACCTCTTTGCTTCTTCCCTGGCAGGAGACAGATGGGCAGGGAGCGAGGAACCCCTCTTCTTGCGGGGTCCCTGACTCCCGGGGACGGCGCCCGCTGGCGTTTAAACATCTCCATCATCCCCACGCTCCCACAGCAATCCTCTCCTGGGGAGAGCATCTCTGTGAATCCCCCCGGACTTTCTGCAAAGAGAAATCGGTCTCAAGAAACTCTACGTACCCGCAGCTGCCAGGTGCCGTTGGCCTTCACCCCCAGGAGCTGCATCGCGAGTTGGGGTCCCCTGATGGGTCCCCATCATGGGCCAGTCGCTGCCCACATTCCCCCCATCCCCTGGGACCGCGGGGACCACGCCGGCCATCAGCTCCACCACAGGGGGATTCTGGTCCAGCTTCACCCGCAGCTTCTCTGCCAGCGGTAAATATTTGACTGAAGCTTTCTTGTTGTTTTTTTTTTTTTTTTTTAAAGTGAGTGTTTGCTGTTGCAGGGTTTGACTCTTTCAAGTGCTCAGCGATGTATAAACAGATTAACAGGTGGAAGAAGCACTCGATAAACACAAAAAAGGCTTTTCAGAAAATGCTACTTGGGTGCGATTTGAATCAGTCAGAGCTAATAGTGGAAGTGGCTAGACTAAAGGAAATGTGAAAAAAAGAACACAGATAACGTATTTTTAGCCTGAAAGCAGTTTCTTAAAATGAGTAAAGTGCCGTACACTGAGCCGGCAAGAGGCACGTTTTCCACACAAGGTGCATAACCTATTTCTAACGTATCTGAGGGCAAATAGGTAAAGCTGGATGGGGTAAGATAGGCTTTATGACAGTTACTGCCTGGAAGTAACACAGGACTATATATAGGCCAGATATTACTTACAAGACCTGGGATGTTCCAGTAGCTGGCAGTCACGTTTCATTACATTTCTACTGAACATTCAGTGCTTTTTCTGCTGTTTTATTAACAAGATGGATTCAAAGGCCCTCAGTCTTATAAATAATTCTGCATGTTTTGGTCCGTCACCCTGGGCTCCCTCCGTCACATCAGGAGGTGCCATAAAGGCATATGAAGCAAAGCCTTTTTTCCCAGTTTTCTGGGCAAATATGTCTGAGTCTTGCACTGGCTCCCAAAAGAAAGAGGAAAAAGACCCATTTTGTTAGACTTGAAATAAACTTGTGATTTGCCTTTAAGAGTTTGCATTCTAAAATTACTTTTAAAATAACTACCTAAAAGTAGAAATAGATTTGCTTAACTTCAAAAATTACTAAATGAAAGGTTTGGCCTCTTTATTTATTTAATCTTCACATTTTAACGCTGAATCTGCTGTCATGAGTTCGCAGATTATGATGATCCAATTAGGGAGCTTTTCCAGTAAACAAACCGTTTTGCTTAAAGTATTCAGCTCATCTGGGCTACAGCTCACGCTCAGGTTTATCTCAGAAGCCCAACGACCCTTCAGGCTGGATTTTCTCACAGAATTTTCGGGTTATAAACCACGTCCGTGACAATCCACTTGCAGCTTTCAGCTGATCTGGCACCTGCTGCGATTGGTTTTGTTTTAGGAAGTTGGGGTTTTTTTAAATCCCTTCTGTGAATATATGATTAGGATGGGAAGGGAGGCCGCTATGTTAAACTGCATCTTAAAAGGGAAACAGACACTCAGTAAAAAAATACTGCAGCCACGAAGCTGGGCATGGGGAAGTGCAGGGAATTAGCACTTAACTTGGAAAAAATATCTGCATCTGCTGTGGGCATCGACTCCGCCGTGCCCCGAAGAAACTCACGCCGAAGAAACGTTTGATGAGATTTTTTTAAGCTGAATCTCCCCGCGGAGCTGCGGGAAGAGGATCCCGGCAGCGGCTCCCGGGGACGGGGAGACGAGACCCCCGAAAAGCAGATGCGAGGCGGCTCTTTCTCAGGCCGTGCCCCGGTAGCCGCGCTGGGCCCCCAGCCCCGCCGGTGCCTGTGCCTCACAGGCAAGGACTTTAATTTCCCGGGGCGAGGACTTTAATTAGATAAAACGGCCTAACCGAGATAAATGGAAATTTGATTAGAACAGTGCTAAGGGTAGAAACCCCGTTAATTACAAGAACACTACTTACTGGCTAAAACACCTCCCTTCGTGTCCCCCATCACCAGTTATTACAGTGCCGCAAACATGGAAAACAACCACAAAGGCGACACAGCATCTGTGTGTGAGAGACGGTGGCAGCAAGAAAAGCCTCACTTCCCCCCCCTCGCCTCCCCTCCGCAGCTGAAGGCTTTATTTGTTCATTAGCATTTTTTATTTGCATTCACAGAGGCTTAATGAGACGGCCATCCTGTGTTAAACACAAATCAGCCGCTGAGGAAGACCCCATTAGTGGCTGTAAGGCGACATGGAACTGTCTCCCGTGCAAAAGCCGCTTCTTCCCGAGCGTGCTTTGATGACTCTGACTGCTATTTAAAAGGGAAAGTTCCAGATTCCTGAGCAGGCCATCACCGCTGATTAGTCTTTGCCTTTTAAAGTTTGTTCAGCAGATGCCCGACGCTAGGAACACGTCCCTTTCCTGCTGCCCCCCGGCAGCCATCGGGGTGTGGGGCACCCCATGGCCACGGGCAGCTCCCCGGGGGGCTGTGGGGCAAAGGAGAGGGGAAACGCTCCCCCAGAGCATTTGGGGGGGTTTCCTGCAGCTCAGCTGGGCCACGCGATTTCCAGAGGATAAGGGGCTGGTGCCGGGATGGAGACCCCATTCTGCTTCTGCTGCGGGACCTCCGCTGACCCCAAAAGTGGCCGACACCACCCCCTGCCCAGCGCCCGGCACGTCCCCGTGTGCCGTCCTGCTTGGCCGCTGCCGCCCCCTCGCCCACAAGAACAAACTTGACCCCGGTGCGCCCGCTCTGCCTCGCCTGGGATGTGGCCAGTGATTCATTTCCATCGCCAAAGCCCCGTGTTGACATTGAAAGGGGCGTTATCACGGGCGCTGGTACAGCGGGGCGAGGGTGTACCTGTTGGTATAAGAACAACGCCGTGGCGCTGCCCGCACACGCAGAGCCCGGCCGAGGCCAGCGCTGCCGCCGACATGAAGCACCTCCTCCTCCTCGCCGTGCTCTGCCTCTCCCTGGCCAGCGGCTTTAAAAGGGAAAGGGGTGCCCCGCCATCTCCCTGGGCTCCCGGAGGGGCTTCGCTCCCAGGGTCCTGCCAGCGCCGAGCGCGGCAGCGATGAACGGGCAGAGCTGAGCTCCCCCGGCACGGACCCCCTGCGGCTGCATGGGAACATGGGGACCACAGAGGGATCACACAGGGATCCCACAGGGCTGTGCTGGTTTGCTCCCATCGGACCAGTGGCTCCGTGGCCGTCTCCATCCCTCTGGGCGGACCGTGTCAGCAGCAGTGGGCTGTGGCGGGGGGGGCTGCCGGGTGCCGCCCCCGGGAGCGGCCGTGTAAGCAGCTGGGGCAGAAAACACCGGCATGAAGTCCCCTCTCCCAGCCTGGGGGTCCTTTTCCATCAGTCCTCTTGAGCTCCTACCCAACCCATCGCCGCAAGCAGGCTTGCACTGGGGCGTGCGGGCTCTCCTGCCGGCTTTGCCCTTGATTTGCTGTCTCCTAAAGCAGCTCAGGTCCCCCATTGCGCTGTGCCTCAGCTAGAAAGTGTTGCCATGGGGGATGCAGGGAAGCAGGCTCTGGACATGCATCCTGGTGGCACTGGGACCCTCAGGGTGGATGTGGGGACTGCAGGACATCAGCAGCATCCACGGCCCCGGGCGAGTGACCGGGACTCTTGCTCCCCCAGGGTGACCCTGACGCGGCACCGCTCCCTGCGAAAGTCTCTGCGGGACCGCGGGCAGCCCTGCCACTTCTGGAAAGCCCACAGGCTCGACATGGTGCAGTACAGCGAGGACTGCGCTGCCTTCGCAGAGACCAACGAGCCCCTCATCAACTACCTGGACGTAAGCGTGGTGGCACTGAGGGCTGGGGGGTGCTGAGTCCCAGCAGTGTGCCGCAGACACCCCAAAAGGACATTAGCTTGCATGAGTGGTCCCCAATGCCCAAATGCTTCCCAGAAAGCCCACGCCTGCTAACGATGCGCGCTGGCGGCCAGTGCCCCAGCGTGCCAGGGCTCGCTGCCTGCCCGCTCCTGCCTGCGCCTTTGTTGCCGGGAATGTGATGATGAGGGTGACAAGTGAGCGC